CACCACTCTCTCCCCTCTGGGAATACTATCCATCACCTCATCTAATTCACTCCAGAATCTCTCCTTCTCTTCTAACTCACACCCTACTTGTGGAGCATAACCACTGACTACATTTAACATTATCCCTTCAATTTCCAACTTCAAACTGATCACCCTGTCTGACACTCTTTTCACCTCTAAAACATTCCTCATGAGTTCCTCCTTCAGGATCACTCCTACCCCATTTCTCTTCCTGACAACACCATAATAAAACAGTTTGTATTCCCCTCCAGCACTATGCGCTTTGCTACCCTTCCACCTCACTGAAGACAGAGTTGTCCAACACAATCTTCTCCAGCAGCTCAATGAGCTCATTGGGCAAATCTGCAGTCATGAAGGCCTTAACTGTGACAGATACCTCCTCTGGGTCCTGGGTTTCAGACAGTGCTGTTTGCACCACCTGAGAAACAAAGGATTGGATGCTTAGAGAACAGACGCCAGCACCCTGTTGGTCAACAGCACTGGTGGCGGTCGTTGTTAACCCGGGCCTCGACCGATCCGGTATGGAATTCACACTGATGATTGGCATGTTTAAATTTGGCATGTTTTTATGCCGGATGCCCTTCCTGACACAACCCTCTCTATTTATCCGGGCTTGGGACTGGCACAGAAGTCACTGGCTTGCAACCCCACTGGCTATTTCATCTAGAATGATAAAAAAAGATAAACCAAGTTAACCTAAACTTTATTTGGAAAAATAGTGCTGTTATATTGGGACAAATGACATGTCAAAAGCCATGAAGATGGGGGATTGATCGTCATTGACTCTGATATTATGAATAGGATAAATGAAACGGTGATAAGGCTATATTTGTCAGGGTTGGCGAGTAAAGCTGCCAACAATTTTAATGGTGAACTCAAAGTGCCAGATGAGGTTAAGCAGAAAATACTATTTACTGAGCAATACACACGTGTACAGTGCATGAGGCCAGAATCATAATCACGTCAAGAGTCCAAGGTCAGTGCCGGCAAACATGCACAGCCAAGAGATCGAAGAGGGAAGTCCGATAATTGTTACACAAAAGACAGTCAGCATCGGGAGGTTCAGGCAAAACTCTGTGGTCAAAAGGCAATCGGAGTCAAAACAGGGATCACTGGTAACAAGCGAAACGCTGGAAAGTCTGAACAGGAGTCAAGAACTATCTGACAGCTTTCTGGTGGGAGGAAAGCTTCTTATAATGGGGTGAAAACAGGTGTAAACAATGAGTGTTGATTAGTGTAAAGAGTCCATATGCAGGGTGAGACTGAAACAGGAAATGATAACAAAATAAAAGCATGATACTGGAAGCCAACAGGACAGAATCATGACAATATTAAGCAAGGGAATTTGATTTGACATGTGACATCAAATGCAATTTTTAAAAGTTGGTGGGATTAAATTTCTTATTAAGTTGTGATTTTGAACTCAGTAAGTTGCCTTTGTGTTTCTCTGCCTTCCATCAGCAAGTTCTGCAGGAAACTGGTGTTCAAACATAACGTTTCTCTGCGCAGTATGCCGAGCTGGAACAATTGCTGTATTTTATTTAAGAAAGAAATCACTATTTATGGAAGAGTGTCTGAAAAAGGAGATTTGGTCTATTGCTCGTCTAATGGCAATTTATTGACTTATTTTAGGTATCTAGGCTTACTCTTGCTTCATTCTCCTCGTCCTCTCCTGAATACCATTCATAATTCAAATGACATTTCAGGGAAAATGTCCACGTCTGCTGTGTATCTAACGTTCGTTATCTATGTATCCAGTGAGCAGCAGTTACTGTGTAGCCTAATTAATGGTTATTAGACTTCTTCTTCTTCTGTCTAATGGCGGTTGGCAAACAGCTTTAGACTGGAGTGTAGATCAGAACGACCACTACTTACTACTGTAACAAAGTGTAACCGTCTACTCTCTAAAAACCTAAGAGTAGTGATGGCCCTATGACACCCGAGGCTCCGACACATGCGTGGTAGCTCATAAAGCAATTGTTTCAAACCACTGTGCCGAGGTGTGTTTCGGTCATGTGACTAGTGACGTTTGAATCACTTGAGTGATGTCTGAAGCAGTTGGGTTCGTCAGACATCAGGTGAATCAGCTGATTGCTTTGGTTTGTCATGTGAATCACTTTGCGGGATTGAGTGTGTTCAGAGACTGGATATCCCTATTTAGTGGTGTTCATTTGAATCTGTCTTTGCAGAACAGGTTGGTTTGTTGCTGTTGTTGCGTTAGTTGCTTTGAGAGTTTATAGTGTTGTAGCAGATTGTGTATTTAGTGGCGAATCACTGTAGATAGCAAGATAGATCAATAGATAGATAGATAGTAAGTTAGAAATAAAGTAGTTACATAGTTAAAGAACACTAGATATAGTTACATAGTCCTAAATAATGTTAGATATAGATAAGATATAGATATATTGCATATATAGTTACCCAGACCTCTATGAATTATCCAAGCATTTCCTGTGTACCCCAGCCTAATCTGTGCCATGTGAACGGGTTTTTTCCAAGGCTGGGGAAATAGTTTGTAAAAGGAGACACCGCTTGTGTCTGAAAACTGTGGATTTACTGTTATTTCTCAATAAAAACTCATAAACAATTACACACCCACACCCACTGCCCTGTTCTTCAAGCACACCCTCTTTTACCCACATACCCATGAACCTTTTTACCAATGAACCCCAAAACAAACTTTGCAGAAGTCCATACTATAATCTATATTTGCACCAGTCCCATGTGAAAATGACATCTGTCTGAATTTGTAGAGCACATCTCATGAATGTAGCAGCACCATTTAAATGTTTTCATAACACAAAATATAAGTGAGGAGTATATAGGGTTACAATCAGACATGCCACATAAGAAACATGGTCTTCAACATGTGTCCATGTTTATTTTATATTTTATTGTCAGGTTAAAATCATACAGCCATGTAGTGTAGTCGAACAGGAATGTGCATGGCGAATCAAATCCCAAACCATGAACCAATAAGCGACACGTCTTGACTGCACTTCAATTTCTTGACCACTAGATGTCCTACTGGAGCACTGTGTCATTGAGGCCTCGAGTAATGAACCATTTGTGTGAACACTGTGTTGAAGCTTCAACAAAGCCTCATCGGCCATCACTACCTAAGAGGTGCTCTGTATCCTATATCACCTGCTATTACAACACTTGTGAAGCGAGTGATACATAAGGTTAATAGTCCCCACTTGGAATGCCTCTTGACCAATCAAATTGCTCGGTCGCAACTAACTGGTGTATAATACATAAACCAATGGCTACAACACTGGACTTGTGATATGATAGTGTTCATATTAGCTAAAATCAACTCTACGTAGAGTACGGTTAAAGGTATATATTAATTACAAAGTAAAACCTCCAGCTTCCACATGGCCCTCTTAAGGAAAAGTGGTATAGATACTGTAGATGGATTGATAATACCTAAATAGAAACTTAGTAGTGTATATTTTAGTGAGCTACAAGTGTGATTTAAGTTAATTTAAATAACACTTTGAAGTATTCTTGCAGTATAAAAACTGTTAAAATAGTAGTTTACAGACAGGACACTTGCAAGTGTACTTTAAACTAAAAGGTGAGTGTCGTGGCTAGAGTGTGATGCCGACTAAATTAATTCAGACAAACCATTACAATTTAAAGGATCATTTAATATTACAATTATTCTGAATAGAGTAGTATTAAAACACATAATCTTGTAGTTAGGGAACAGAGATCAGAGAACAGAGACTCTCCTCTTGCAATGGAATAGATAAAGCATAAGGAGATTGTCAGAGCACCAGTCAGTCAAGTCATTGGATGTCGGTCCCGAGTCGGTTCCCCTGTCAGCCCCAGTCAGTCGTTGTTCCCCCCGGCCCTCCGAGGCCGGGCTTGTGGTACACTGTTCATGATAGCATGGTCATCCTCTCTCTCTCTCCCTTCTGCTGGTCTAACCCAGCCTTTATCTGCTCAGATTCACACATCTCTGCACGGCCGGAGCCATGAAGACGCGGTCCCATGCCAGCTACCCACACACCTTCTTCCCAGCATTGTCCAAACCGTCCAGTACATGACCTTCTAGGTCACGTAGACCTAGCACACATTTCCCTTTTCTAAACCTGAACAGAGCACTCGAATAGTTCGCATAAGCTGCAGCTGCAGTATCTGTATATCCATTCCCTATCAGAGGAGGAAGTCACTCAGGATGTTGACCCATAAGTTAATCAAGGGGGACACAGATATTCTTGCCTGCGCCAGAGACAGATCAAGCTTCCGTACACACTGAGCTCACCCTTACATAACTATTACAAATAATATCTATATGAACTACATACTGTTCTATTACATATTACTTCTGGAATCTGGTTTATTTCTAACCACTACATGAGATAGAAGCATATAACTTGCAAACTAAAATAGTTGCATTACAAAATAAAACAAATGTAAACTAGTTATGTATTAAAAGTTGACTACTCTTACACATGAAGTATACTACTAGTATAGTGATATTAGTATACATACAACATAAAGTGTACATGGGAAATGAGCTTTAATAAAATGAACTTCAAATATAAACTTTTTTGTCAGGGTGTCTCCGCTTTAGTTCGTCTTTAATCGGCTCTGTGGGCTTAAATGATTTTTTCTTTAAAATGTGTTTTCAAACAACAAATAGGAGCTCAAAAGCTAATGCTGTAGATACTGCGCACTCTGTACTGCTCTTACTGTCCTTATGGTTAGATGCTAAACTGTATTTCGTTGCCTTGTACTTGTACATGTGTAATGACAATAAATTATAATCTAATCTAATATCCTGGGACCACGGAGTTTCTTCACCCGGCCCTGAATAAGAGTAGATGTGTGAAGCGGTTGCTAAAGAAATGTGTGTCAAACGCCTGCTAGAAGTCTAAAACAAAGGCTATTTTCATTCATGGGTGTTCAGGATAATCAGTAAACATAGGACATCATTTGCCAAATGCCTGTTTTACATTTGGTAGCGTCCGGGGCTGACGTCAGAGGAGCGGAGGAGAGCGCGTGCCGCCTTTGGGCAGGCCAGCTGTTCGCGTGAGTGGCCGTGAGGTGACACGCGCTGGCTTTGACACAACAAGGAAGTGGACGGTATCAGATGAAGGCACAAACCTTCGACTTTACCGTACAAGGTAAGCCTGATAGCCGGAGAAAGGTGTTTACTGTGACCTAGTTTCCCGGGTACGAGATCGACGGAGCGTGTTTTTGCTAGCTGCCGGTAGAAGGATAAGGAAGCTCGGCTTTAGCCTGTGATTTAACCACCGTATTGTTTCCAGTGTTGCGGAAGTGTAATTCAGCAGCATCCAAAGGTTTCTCTCTTCGTATATGATCTGCCTTATCTTTTTTGGCTTTGTAGAGACATTGTCGATAACTCGAGGTCCTTTTAATAATGGTCGGGTTACTGTTCCACACGTGATATGGGTACAAGAGCACAGTAAGGGTAGATGTAACAGTAGCTTCGGAACATGTCCACATCTGGGGCTTCTGATACCCTCTTCAGCCTCAGCAAACACTGCTGCCCTGGTGTGTCAAATGAACAATTTTAAGCCTAAACTCACTGCCAGAACTGTTTCTCTGGTTGGGCTGCATTCCAATTGAATGGGGCATTACTGCTAGAAACAAAAGCTTTAACCAAGATGTAGCAGGAGTTACTGGTTTGGTCAGATTGCAGCTCATGTTATGCCTTCACAGGACTGTGGTTTGAAGTCGCCTAAGGTGAAACTTAGAGTGAATCCAGAAGCTATTTAGGTCTATGTCACGTGAGATTTACAGCTGTATATGCTAGCTGTGATGATAAAAGTCTGCCGACCAAGATCTCTCAGCTCTTAAAGCGATTTTGTAGCCTATAAACATGGCTACGCGCTTTGGTTTCTGGAGCAGATAGCAGTAGTCATGCAGGCTGGCAAACGCAATTTCTGGCTTGTGGTGTATCCTTCTCTAAAACTTGTGGTAGTCCAAAGCTCTGCTGCTGCTCAAAAGCAAATGAATCACATCCCCAGTTGGTGTGTGGGGCAAACATGAGAACAGGTGTATTTTACTGGCTTCAGATAAAGGGAAATGGCAGCAGCATGGAAGTTAGAGATGTGGTTTTGTTAATGAGGTGAAAGGCATTAGTTTGGTTCTAACCACCTAAGCAATTTTGATCATAAATACAACATGTACAGTGGGTACAGAAAGTATTCAGACCCCCTTAAATGTTTCACTCTGTTATATTTCAGCCATATGCTAAAATCATTTAAGTTCATTTTTTTCCTCATTAATGTACACACAGCACCCCATATTGACAGAAAAACACAGAAT